TTGTGTTTTATTGTATGGACAGTATCTGTTAAGAAGAGTTATTATAGACAGCAAGCTTCATTTAAATCATCTACAAAGATTTTACTGCAGTTATGATTTTGACTAATTCTTTTTTAATGGGATTGTACCAGTTTGTGATAAAAATGGGGAATGGTCACTTACATCATTTATTTGTCCACTTTTGATATTCTTGCCAAGAACATTTGTAAATAATGAGTTTAGGACAGTGTGAGGTGATTTTCATTGAACGAGTGACTGAGGGATAGATGCAGACGACTGCATACTGTATGTAGGAAATCTGTAACTGATCTCTATCAGACTTACATTAAATTGATATTCAAATATAAACCATTTTCTTATCATTGAGAGGATCATATGACCCTAACGGTAAATGTTTTATACATGATCCAGGGTCATGATTGGTTTCCTTCGTTTTCTTTTTCTGTCTGTCGGGTTCTTTCTGTTTGACAGCATTCCAAGAGAGGAACTGGGATATTATATGAGGAAATTAGGAGTGGCAGAGCAGCAGGTGAGGGCTGTGCAGGACATAAATGAGAACAGCAAGGCAGCGGTGAGGTGTGCATAGGAGTGACAGATGGGATCAAGGTGGGGGTGGAACTACGCCAGGGATCAGCTGTTGGTTGCAATGGTGATGGGCGGGTAAAGAGATGAGCTCAGGCAGGAGTCGTCCTGGCTATGACGTGTAGTGAAAGTGGGGGAGCAGGTGGAAGAAAGCCTGCAGAGGTGGAGGTATGCAATGAAGACAAGAGGAATAAAAGTTAATGCAGCAACATTTATCTGTTCTCTGTCACAAATACTGTCTCACGTGCCTCTCAGAGGGGATCTAACCATCAGCCTTCCCACTGACAAACAAACCCGCTCTACCTGCTAAGCCACACCCACCCTCATGATGATGTCATGTTTGGTATGATAAGATGACAACAGCACAAATTTGCTGTTGGCCAAACGTTTAGGCTAGCTGCTCAGTAGATATCTGCAGGTGAGTTTTATCAGGTGTTGGTAAGAGTTACTGTGTTTCCTGCTCTACTGACCATCAATTTTAGATAATGCACCTTTAACAACTAATTAATACTAACTAATAACTAATCCATTTGTATTTTGTATGTGTTATTCCCTACCGAATATAAACTGCGATATTTCATTTTTAAGCTAAAATTAGAAGTTCAGGTTTGCAGATGTCTCTCATGTTTTAGGATCCGTCTCTGCACTACAGAACCTACAGAATGTTTTTTCACGTCATAAAATTCCCAACAATAGTGACCTGCTGAAAATGCAATGTACAGCATACTGAGTAAATGACAGATAACGATGTTACAATCATTATCTGAACACTAATGAGTGGACACTTGAGGTAAAAGATGAATTTAAAAACAAGGTTGACATCCAAACATGTCTCAGTGTAGTAATGGCATCAGAATGGTCATGGATCCTTTCAGCCACAGAAACAGTTCATACATGTAGAGTTTCCACAGGCTGAGAGACTCGGCCAGCGTGATCTGCACACGCCTTCTCCTGCTCTGAGCTTTAGTCCTCTTGTGCCTGTCAGACAAAGCAGGAGGAGGAGGAAGTGGTTATGGCTTCGGCACAATCTGGGTCATAACATCAAGATTTCTCTCAAAAGCCATTTTTCATGAGTTTCACACAAAATCACAGACAATGGCACGACAATTCGCACTGTGATGCACAGAAGACTGAGTCAATGTGCTCTGTACATGTTCAAAGTTTTAGGAAAATACATTTGAAAATGTTGTTGCCAAACACACAAACAGAATATGGTGCAATCAAAAGAAACCACATTTATTTGTAAAGTTTTGTTGTTTTTTGGATGGTAAGATGTTAATGAACACACAAATGAGAATTTACTTTCATCAGTAGCCCATGGAGCCCATCACTTCAAGCCCAGGTTCTTATACCATTAGTCATGGATAAATTGGTATTGAATATTTGGATTCTTGACATTGTTCATCTAAATGGAACCAACCTGCAGCCCAACTGGACCTTTGGGTAATTTCATAGATGTAGTTATCTTTAGCCACATTCCCTCACTATCCTCTGTTCATTTAAGCTGCACAAACCCAGTGAGATGTGCTGTCCACATTGGAGAGTCCATTTGGTTCTTGGGTGTCCTATTTCAATTTTTAAAAACTGATGCAATTAGAGCAAGTGATACTTACCACATTTTATCAAAAGGTCTTTTCAGTTCTCCAAAGAGCACAAATAATATTTCATTCACCTCCATTACATGTATGAAATCTAAGTCTTGGTCAAACTGTCACTCAAAGTAACCTCCACATTAGGGGTGGGCGATATAAACGATATACGATAGAAAC